CGGGCGGCGGGTTGGGGTCGGTAGCTTTGTCCCGCTGCCGCGCCTCGGCCGTGGCGGCTCTTCGGGGCGATGTGCCTGCTGCGGCCGCCCCGCATCACGCAGCCCCTCGAGAAGGAGGAGGAAGAGATAGCGGCCCTCATGGGGCAGGTAGAGGGGGGCGCTGGGGGCTTGCCGACAGGAAAATGGCTTCCTCGGGCCTGGAGCGGGGAGCAGCCTGCGGGGGGCAGGTAGAGGGGGGCGCTGGGGGCTTGCCGACAGGAAAATGGCTTCCTCGGGCCTGGAGCGGGGAGCACCCTGCGGGGCTGGCAGCCGCGGGGGGTGACAGGCCGCGGGGCCGGGAGGAGCTGATGGCCCCGCGCAGCCAGGCTGGGGGCACCTCGGGTGGTGTCGCTTCCCGCCATGAAGCGACGCTGGGTGCTCCGCGTGCGATTTGCTGCCCGCACCGGCTATCGTGGGTCTCCGTAGCGCTCCCGTCGCCTTCCTCAGTGTCGTTGATGTCCCTGACGGAGGCTCTTGCTGCGAGCAGGGAAGTCCTGCTCAAGCTCAGGGAAATTCCCATCATCTTCCATTCAGTGAGGTAGAAATAGTTTAATTCTGCTTGCCAAGTCCAGCCCATAGCGCTGGTGCCTTAACAATTCCCTGCGTTGCCCTTCTAGATAGAGCTGGAGAAAAGCCACTATTCAGACCATGAAATCCGCAAGCTGGAGGAGGAGGAGCAGCTCAGGAGAAGGAAGGAGAGCATGTACGATGATGATGAAGCACCCGGCAAAACGGTCATCATGGCTCAAGACCTGGAGGACAAGTGGGAACAGAAGTTACTGCGGTTTGAAGCTGCTCCGCGGATAACAGGTACGGGCTGAAGTTCGTGGTGGGTGAGAACACCCCGATTGTCTGCCAAACACAGCTAAGTGCAATTCAGTGGAGGGGAGACATTTGCTGAGCCTTTTTGTGTTATAAAGAGGGTCATGACTCCATGGCAGCACCATTAGCACGCGAGGAATTAACTGGCTGACAAGGGAATCGGTCTTCCCGTGTTGCGAAGTACATGTTCACACAACCTTATCAGAGCAGAGCGGTGAAAATGGATGTTGTTTCCAGACGAGAAACCTCGGATTGTTTGGTTCCCGAGCTCCCCTAGGGCTCTTGTTGATTTTTGTCAAGCTGGAGATCCAGGCTGCTTGCTGTAAATTCCCTTTGGAAATGAAACAGGTAGAGTGCAGTCTAGCAGTGGGTTCCAGCTGAATCCTGCGTTGGCTTCCAGAGCGACTGAGAGCATTTCTATCTAGATTTTTGTCTTGTTCCGTGTATCCATGTTTGTGTATTATTGCTGGAAGGGTGTGGGATGGAGAGGGGTGATGAATCGAGGGGATCAGACCAGTGCTGCCAGGAGACTTTGTTTCCAGCATGTGTTGGTTTTTGGCAGATGCTGATAAAAACAACAATCGAACATCGTTGAACAGGAAGCTGGACAGTAACCTGATGCTTCTGGTGAAACAGAAAATCGGTAACCAGGAGCTGTGGCTCCTGCCTCAAGTGGAATGGCAGCCTGGAGAGACGCTGCGAAGCACAGCTGAGCGAGCCATGGCGATGTTTTTGGGTGTGTAGTTTGCCACGTGCCTGGCCCTCCCTCCTCTTTGGCCCAGTGGTTTTCTTCCCGTGCCCTATTTGATGGATATTTGCCATCTGCTGTAGGGAAATCGCCTCCCATCTGCTGGGAAAGGGCATTTCATGGCAGAGGGACGGAGCTCAATGGGGTGTGCTTTCTGGCAAGAGCCGTGATCCTGGGTAGTCGGCTCTGTAACCGTGTACTGTTGCAGAGCAACTGCAGTGTGTGTGGGGCTGGCTGGGCTGACAGACTGCCAGTTGGGATCTCTGGCTGCCAGCTGCTGCGGTGCTGGGTCTGGCCCTTGCAGTCTGATGCTGGAGCATCACCAGACGCCCCCTGAATGGTCTAGGCTTGCTCCAGGTATACGGTTTCTCTCTCCCTCTTGTAGCCCTGTGGCAGCTTTTGTGACAAATGGGTGATGGCAAACCCACGTGTCCTTGCTTTTCACTGTGGGTTGGCAAAGGTTGATACCCTCTCCCTCCCTCCCTCACTCTGAGAGGACTCGCTGGACTCCAGGACAAGTTGTTTTTTCATGAGAAAACATTACAATTGGCAGTATTTCTGCTAAGAAGAGGGAACAGTCAGTCTGAACCAGATACAAGGAGTGGCTTATGCTACCTCTTTGTTACTACAGGAGAGCAGTTACTGTTGCTTTGTGTTCTTACCTCTTGTTTTCTGTTTTCTTTCTCTTGCGTTGCTGGGGTCTTGCAGGAGATCACATTCAAGCCAAAATCCTGGGGAATGCGCCATATGGGATTTACAAGTATAAATTCCCCAGGGCCATCAGGACTGAGGATAACGTGGGAGCCAAAGTATTCTTCTTCAAAGCCTTCCTCCAAAGCAGTGATTTGTCCCAGGCAGAGCTGAAGGAAGACTACCTGTGGGTCACAAAGGATGAGCTGGGAGATTACTTGAAGTCGGAATACCTGAAAAAAGTCAACCGATTCCTTCTGGACTTATAAACGATAGGCTGTACTCCAGCAGATGGGGAAGATGCGGGACGTGGCTCCCGGGAGGAGCACAGCTGCTGCTTTGCATGGTCTGTGTGTATGGGATGTTAACTCGGGCTCTGGAGGATAATTTGCCTTTGCCTTATTTCCCAGTTCTCTTCACTGGGCCTGTACTAAATAAATATTAAAACTTATACTTGGAAGTGAAGCTCTCCTCAGGGAGTTCTTTGCTCTTCTTGAATCCTCCTCCACCTCTTCTGGAAATGCATGTTGTGATCTTTTCCTCTCCCACGTGTGCGATTCCCTGGGGCTGTGGTAGCCGGGAGGCTCGCTCTCCTCACCAGACCCCTGTCATAGTCTGGAGCTCAAATGGTTTCTTCTAAGCAATGGTTAATGCTTGTTTCTGGCACCTGCTCTTTAATAAGAGCCGCACTGGAGGGTTATCTGTGTGTCCAGGTGGGAACACACCCTCCTGGACACAAGGCTGGTCAAGGTGGGTTTCTGGGGAGCTGGAAGCTGGGATAGTCACAGTTTATTTATGTTTAATCTGTGTGGGAGCTGCCTCTGGCCTAGAGTCCGTGAAGAGCAGCGGCTGTGGAGGACATGGATGCATGAGGAGTAGGCAGCAGCTCTTTCTTTAGATGAGTGCTGCTTTCCCACCCACACTGCCCTCCTCTTAAGCCTCGAGCTGTAGCAACAGACACCGACGGAGGGTAACATTGGAGCAGCAGCTCTCTCTCTGGGCTGAGATGCTAATTTCTGCTGGCGGCGGAAGGCTGCTCTAGCATTGCTGCCTCCTGGGAGCAGCCTCAAAGGTGGCTCTGGGGAGTTCTCGGCTCCCATTCCTGCTGTATTAGGCTAGCCCTGCTAACCCAGCCCAGCCAGGTCTGCCTCAGGTAGCCTGCCCCTGTTACTCCAATTTCTTTATTAGAAGATTTATCCTGGGCTTATATGGTGCTGCCTCACTGCTCTGGGGCCGATTCTGTTTTTTGGAGGGTTTTTTCTGGTTGTAAATGTTGCTGTTTGGTAGTCAGAGTGTGGGCCCGGTGCTGGCTGGACCTTGCAGAGAATCAGCCTTCTTCAGCAGCAGGGAGAGAGGGAGCAAATAGCTGTCATTAATCATTGGGAGAGAGTTCGGCCTCCAGAGGTGGAACTGGAGATTGCTATGTATATTTTATCAATCCTTTGGGAGCTGTTGAGCTGCAGGCCTCGAATTAAAGCTATCCTTAATCACTCCACAAGCCATTGGGTTGGGGGGGGTAGCACAGCAGCCTTCTATTTTCTAACACTGGGCAGATTGAGAGCTGCAGGCTTGCCATAATTACCAACAAAACAAAACTTGGCTTCTTGATCTTGAAGCACCCTCGCAGGCCTGCAACGGAGAGCACTTGCAAAGAGGAATTAAATGCGGAGCGGAATACGAGCCTGAAAAACTGCAGATTTTTTGGCTTCTGTTGGAGGTCAGCACTGCTGAAGGGGAGACTACTGCCTTCTCCAGGACTGAAAGCTCTTCCAGAGGGGGAGAGGTGAGTCCTTCCCCTCAGGCTGTGCCCCAGCAGCCTGGGGGGCCATGGGTGCAGTCAGCTCAGGATTAGGCTTTTCTCTACCCCCCTGTTTCAGGCCGTCGCTGGCTCCGTAGCACACGGTCCCTGAGCAGAGCTTTGTGGGCACAGGCTTAGGGCATGCCCTTTGCCAAGGTCTCTGTCCCATTTCCCATGCCAAAGGCAGGTTTTGTGTTGCTGGAGTGAAACTTTAAAAGCGTATGAAATACTGTTTAATCGGTGCTTATTTGCTCTCAAAACCAGGAGCACAAAAGTGAGAAAAGCTTGCTGATCTTCAAACCCAGGCAGTTCTTATTCTCTGGCTCGCTCAAGCTACAAGTCTTTGGGCATTGTCTGTGCTGAGAGAGGTGTAGCTCTCTCCAGCAGTGGAAAGGTCAGAATCAACAGCCTCCTTCATTTTCTAAATGTTTTTCCTTGGGCTCAGGCCATTGTTCTTACAGGTAGCAGGTGTGGGAGAAGCTTGGTCTTTTCTGGAAGTTGAAATTGTTGTTTTCTCATCACCTAAAACACAAATTCCTGCTCGCAGCCTGCATAGGAACAGTGCCTTTTTTTTTTTTTCTTCCCCTTGCAGTTGATTTTATTTAAAAACCCTCAACCAGTTGCTGCAAACAATCCCAGATCCTGCAACTCGGGTGCTTTTGCTCAGTTCTTCTTCTGTGTGGCCTGTTTCCCTCCTGCTCTGGCCTCAGTGAGAGGGAAGGCAGAAGGATATCATGCAGGTTTCCTAGCAGAGAGGATGGTTTGTATCTTCTCGTCTCCTTTCTACTCCCAGAGGTCCTGCGGTGGATCACTGAGGCTGTTATTTTCCTTTGAGAACTTGGTGGCTGCAGGCTGTCTTTCCACTCAGTGCAAACCTATACCTGTACTCCTTGCAGAGTTGCAGAACTCTGATCAGGCAGGCTGGTGGGATGTGTTTTGCTGGTTACTACTGAAAGGATAGTACAAAGCCTTTAAAACCTTTTCAGAGAGAGCTCTTCTCTCTCCTGGAACAGAAGAAGCCTGTTGAGTCGTGGCTGGGAGAGAGCTCCTGCAGTCCAGCACAAAGAGCAGGGGGAGCATTTCGCTTGTGTTGAGCACAAAACTTGCCTTGCAAATGTGACGGAGAACCAGACAAGTGTTTGCCTGGGTGTTGGGGGAGTCTGGAGCTTGTTTGCACCCAAAGCCTGGAGGGCTTTTCTCACCTTGGCAAAAGCCTCCTCACACGAGATCTCTCTACCAGAACCTGAAGCCGCAGCAAGTACCTGTGGAGGCACCGAGTTTGCTGTGGCTCTTCAGTGCATGGCACAGTTGGATCAATCGAAGAGCTCTCCTGTGAAGTGTGCACCAGAGAGAGGTGTTTTGGAAAGGACCTGTGAGCAGCAATGTGGGGCTCATCTAAGAAGTCCAACGTAAGATCAGTGCTGCGGCTGCCGGGGCCAGTGTCTGAGCGTTATCTTACCCTGACTGCGCACATCGGGGAGGAAGCTGGAGAGCAGTCAGACTGTGGAGACTTTCTGCTCCTCAAAGCCATTTTCAGCACAGGACACTTCCGTTCATGAGGGTGATACACAAAAGCCAGATCATTCCCCCCTCGAAGAGGGAAGGAGGCATGTCAAGGTGCCCTTTCCCTGGTGTGATGCAGTCCAGCAGCTGTTGCTAAAAGCCTCCAGGAGCAGAAACAAATGGAAGGATCAGTTGCAGTCTAAAACTCCTGTATCTAAGTCATTGCTTAAGCCACCATGTTAGAAGAGAGAGATGAAGGTTTTCTTTGTGACAAATTGGATGCTAGTACTCCCCTCCAGCGAAGGAGAGATAACAAGTCCTAATAAAACCACTTTTCAGCTTCACAGATACAGCTTTCCTCTACAAAATATCTTCCCTAGCTGACGTCCCTCCCTGTCTGTGGGAGTTTTGGGGATTGGCACTCTCTAAGCAGAGCCCCGCTTGTGTGTTTTATGGTACGCTAACACTGTGAACTGTTCAGAACTGCACACTTTCTCACATAATAGGAAGCTGTTATTTGTTGCTCCTGACTGGCTCCAAGCAACCAAAGGCTTCAACGTTTGGAAGATAGATACATGCAGAGCCAGGAGAGGCTGCCGGAGCCACGGGCTACACCGCTTCCTGCTCCCTGAAAACCTGTAGGAGGAGAGATGCTATTGCTCCCAAATACAGCCATGAGCTTGTTAGAGCAGGGAGAGTTGCTCTGGTGCAGGGAGCACCCTGCGGCATCCCTCCCTGCCAGGACAAGGGGTGGGCTGGCTCGGGGTGGGTAGGAGTTGGGCTATCCCACCTGGGGCAGCCTGTGGGCTCACTCCCTGTCCTGGAGGATAAGGCGTCTCCAGCAGCATCAGTCACTTTGCTTTTGTTCTAGTCAAGCTCCCGTGCTTGTATTGGAAGGGTTCTGTCTCTTTGGAGGGAGTTTTTCTGGCAGTGCCTGGTGTTTCTGTGAGCGCTGCCCATTCCTGCTGTGCTCAGCAGCCTGCAGGAGAAGCAGCGTGGGGTGCTCTGCTTGTGGCAGCCTGGAGACCCAGCAGAGCATGGCGTGGAAAATCTGTTTGAGGTCACCAGTGATTAGGTCTCATTCTTCTGTTTTGAGGATACCTTTTTCCTCCCTTTTCTTGTGAAATCATCCCTGTGTTTTGACATAACCAGCACACTGGAAGGATGCAGAGTGGGGCAGGCAGAAGGCAGTGCTTGGGTGAATCTCTACAAAGGTAAGGATGAGTATAAAAGAAGGGGGGGGGGCTACTGGGAAACTTGGACTCGGGGTAAAATAGCTCCAGAAGCTTTGCTGATAATACCCAATCCTTAACACCAAGCCCTCAAAAAGCAAAGCCAGGAATTTGTGAGGTGAGTACAAAATGCTGACGGCAGGAACCCCCTTCAGGTAGTTGTAGATACAGCGTTGCTGTCAAGGCTACTTTCCCCTAAAAGATCTTGGGGGCGGGGTATAAAATCATTTGGCAGCACGTCATAGGCAATGATTGGAGACCCAGGGGCATTTCTCGGTTGAAATATGAAGGGTTATTCAGCAACATTAAAATGAAGCTTCTTCAAAACCCAGGTAAGGCAATAAAGCCTTTACGCAGTGTACACAAGGCTTTAGGACTCGCCATCACAGCCTACTCCAGAAGCAGGACAGTGTGCTGGCAGGTGCCGGCCCTTCACCTGGCTACCATGAACATCCAGTCTCATAATGAACTGAGGCAAAAGTTTAGGAAAAGATTTTACAGCTAACAATTTGCAGCTTAAGCTGATCTCTGCTGGAGATTAGGGTGAGAGCCGATGTTGGAGGCCGGTTATCTTGTGCCTAAGGGCTTCCCTCTCTCTCCAAGCATCAGGGCAGAGGGAAGCTGGGGACGTCGGGGCACGAGGTACGGGCCAGCACTGCTGCTGGGACAATGGTGAGCGATGTCAGGGGTGAGCGTGTGTGCTGCTGGCCTGCTCCCACCACGTGCTGCCTGCCTGCTTTCTGCTCGCTCTCATCTATCAAAGTAATTATGCCCATTACATTTCTCCTTTCAGGTTTTACCCTCCCAAATGTTATTCCACAGCATTAAACCTGTGGGGGAAGTGAATTATTGGGGAAAGTAACTAGATATAATCCAGGTTTAATGGGCACATAGAAAAAGCACACTGGGTTGGGAGGGTGGCTCAGCCAG